GCCGAGTCGGCAGGGCGAGGGGACAGACCCCGCGCAGCCCCCCGGTCAGGCTGTACAGGCAGAGAAGCCACTCGAGCAGGAGCGCAGCTGAGGCACGTCTCTGCGGCTCCGTTTCCTCCTCCGTGCCCCCAGGGCGGGGGGCAACGCTCATCCCCCAGCCCCACGGCCCTCCCTTACATCTTTCTTCGGCGCCTTTGACTCTCCGTCCGCGTCGCCCAGGGCGGAAGCGGAGGCCTTCTCTCGCTCTCCAGGCAGCTCCGTTTTGCTGGCCTTGGCGTCGCTGCCTTCGCTCATCTTGAAGGAGGAGGCGCTGTCGTTGTCCTGGAAGCCGTCAGACATGCTGTTGGAGCTCAGCCACGAGGCCACTTTGTTCTTGGAGGTCTCCTCGGACACCGGCAGCTTACAGGAGGCAGCCACCGCCGTCTCGTCGTGGCTGATCTGCCGGGTGAGCCCCGAGTCCTTGGAGGCTGTCTCCGACAGCCCGTTCTCCTTCTGGCCCCGGGTCTGCCGTCGCGTGGCATAGCTGCGCCACACCGAGCTGGTGCTGAAGTCCTCGTCCTTGCAGAAGTTGTCATCAGAGCTGTCCTCGTTGGACTCCTCCTGCTCCTCGGTGCCTGTGTTCTCCTCCTCTTCGTCCTTGAGGTCCACCCCGCTGCTGTCAGAAGAGCATTTTGCGTCGCTCTCGTAGCCCTCCTTGAAGTTCTCCACGCTCTCAATGTGATCCAGGTTAGCAAAATACTCGTCGCCCATCTCTAACCCCTCTTTGTCGGCAAAGTCATCCGTGAGGATTTTCCCTGGGGGTGGGGAATAGAAAACTAAGCGTCAGCTTTCCAGGGATCACATTCCTACCCCACAGATGTTGTCCTCCCCACAGGCTCCCCGAGGAGCAAGAGGGCTGACGCCACCCGATTCCAAAGCCGGGCTGGCAAAGGACGACCTGCAACCCTGCTACTCCAGGTAATGAAAATCTGAAGCACGTGGCTGAGCTGAAGCGGGCCCGCGCTAACAGCCAGGCTTCGACGAGGAGACCCCTGCAGAGCCCCTCAAACAGGGGGCCTGCCTTTTGCTGGGAGGGGCTGGCGGCGAGGGCGCAGCGCAGAGGCAATGTTAAGGGCAAGAAACCAGAGCAGCAGAACTCGGGCCATGCCCGTGGTCGGTTTCATTTCGGAGTTAACGCAACCACGCTGCGCAACTTCTGCATTTTCTTGGTCTGTCCCCGCGTCCCAGCGCCTGGTGCGATGTCAACAGGAAGCAGGTACGTGGTGATTCACCCCCCGCGCGCAGGCACAGCGCCGGGGATCCGAGCACTGCCCCTGCCGCCGGCACCGCAGCCGCGCTGCCCGCTGCAGCACCTCGGTTCAGAGCTGGGCGACGGAGCGGCACCGGTCAGGAGATCAAAGCGCTGCACGTTCATCATCCCAGCTTTTACTTTCCTGTCCCCTTAGCGAGCAGGGGAAGAGCTTCACACCCGTTCTGCTGGGCTGTGCGTTTTGCGATAAACAAAGCCTAGATCTCAGGCCTGACACAACCAGAGCTTTTCAAACACTTCTTCCCCCCCTTCTTCACCAAAACAAAGCAGATTCGTATCTGGATGCATGTGACCAGTGGCTCAACAAAGGCTTTTCATTCACAGCACCTGTTCCAAAACAAGAGGCCTCTGCCTGCCTGCTCAGCAGGGCGAGATCCTACCTGCGTAGATGCAGACAAAGGAGCCTTTAGCAATATCATCCAGGCAGCGAATGCCCCAGCCTTTGTTCTGCGTCTTGAATAACTGCAGTCGGACTTGGAGCCCGTGCTGGACCAAGCGATTGGTGCACATGTTGATGTTGCACTTGCACCTCTTGTTGCACTCGTAAACTCTGAAAGAAAGGGGAATGGTGACATCTTCAACACCCCCAGACTCGGTGTCGCACGGGTCACGCTGCAGAGGGACCGGCAGCAGCGACTCCAGGCTCAGCTGAGCGGGGTGAGTGCAGTGGGCAGGTTCTGCGGCAACGCACAGACACCCCGGGCCGCACATGCGCAGGGGAATCGAGCACAGAGGCAGGTTTTCAGTACCTGCACTTAGCTCGGGAAATGCTGCCTCTCTGACAGCGTCGCAGGCCAAGCTGGTGGGGCTGGAATTTGTGAGGGCAGGAGAAGACACAGCGCAGCTTACCCTGTCGGGAGGCATTCTTCCAGCCTCTTGTGCTGGTATCCGGAGTTGGGGTTGATCTGCCCACCCGGGGTGCAGCCGGTCGCCTGGACCGTCAGCTGGTGACAGGCACATTTCGATCTAGAGAGACACAGAAACCCGTGCCCCAGAGGTTAGTTTTACACGTGGGTTTTGCAGAAGGGAAAAGAAATCCCCTCCTCCTGCATGCGTATATGCAGAGATGGGCACACAGGGCTTGACTCGCAGTCAAACCTGCAACCGACCAGAGGTGCGTGGGCTTAGAGCCCAGAGCAGGTCCACCCTGGGCTGTCACCGGGGCTGGGAGCACAGCCCAGAGCTGTCCCCCCCCTCCAGGCCCGGCGGCACACGGGGAGCCACCTACTTGTCTCTGCAGCCGTCTTTGCAGTCGCAGCCCACGAGGAACTCCCAGCTGGTGTTGATGTACACCCCTTTGCCGGGGATGCGTTCTTTGCTGTAGGCCACCTGCGGAGGCGGCGTGTTGTCGATCTCGTTGACGCAGGACAGCGGCACGTCCTCCCTGCCCTTGGTGATGTCTGCGATGTAGTAGTAGGGTTTGTAGGGCTGGAACTTGCGATCGACCAGCACGTACGGGTCCAGGCAGAACATCTCCAGGAAAAGGAAGTCGCAGTCTGTCTCAAAGAGGTAGCGTTCGATCTCCTGCATGGTTCGCAGGCACAGCCCGCACGGCGTCTTGTAGAGGACGTGGAAGCCCATCTTGCGGTTGATCCGTCGGCGGGCCGTCATCCGTCGGAAGTCGTAGAGCAGCGGGATGAGCAGGGGGTTCTTGCTGCGGTACTGATCGCTGCGGATGGGACGGACGCGGGACAGGCAGGCTGGGGTGCAGACGTGTGGCAGGTAGAAGACGGGCGGGTGTAGCTGCAGACGTGTGGCAGGTAGAAGAGCTTCTCCAGCGGGGCGCGGTACGAGGGCTCGTTGGGCACGCGGTCCATCATGCCGTGGAAGGCCTGCGCCGTGGCACTGCCGGCCGGGCCGCTGGAGAGCCTGTCCCAGGAAAGGGGATACAGTGAGCAACCGCGGCTTCAGGCAGAGCGGTGCTGTCTCCTCAAACTGCAGAGGGATTTTCGGCACTGAATTCCTACCAAAGCAGCTGCTGGCTACGCACTGGGACACCCCCTTGGCTCTGCTGCCTGGTCCAATTCGACGCAAGCCCCAGCGTCCCCTGGCAGCAAGGCTGGGCAGGCCCCGAAAGGGAGCGTTACCAGCAGCAGAGAACACAAAAAACCCCCGAGTCAGAACTAGGGAAGCAGAAACTGGTTGTGGTCAACAGCTTCTGTGCCATGGATCGATTGCCACAAAGCTACCGCTGCGGAAAAGCCACCTGCAGCTCTGCGTTAACAACAGCGTCCCCCTGACCCAGAAAGCTTGTGGAAACAGGAGTCCTCGAAAACCAAGCAGGGTCAGAGGCTTTGGCCAGAGTGCCCCCGGGGTAAGCGCTGGTCAGAGACCCTCCAAGCTCAAGCCAACAACAAAACCTAAGGAACAGTTGTCCGGGAGGGAGAACAAGCTAAGAGGAAGACAAATGCTCCGGACCGGACAAGCTGGCAGATAAAGGTGTCAGCCCACAACAAACTAAACCTGCAGCAAACCAAACAAGCCCCAGCTCTGCACCAGCATCCCGAACTCTCCCAAGGACGCCGGGACCTGTATTGAAGTGCAAACCAGCGCCGCTTACCGATGCTGCTGGGACGCCCCGGTCCTTCCCGCCGCGGGGGTATCGCTTAGGACGGGCGAGGAAGGTGACGACTGCCCAGAGCCCACGGAGCCAGGACGGAAGGAAGTGCTTTTCTTGGCCACTTGCTTTCTGGACTGGGCCAGCTGGCTGTCGGAGCATCTGCACGAGGGAAGAAGAGAGGCGATTTGCAAGACGCACACGCTCACACAGCCGGTAGGATTTAGATAGACGGGGCAGTCAAAATAACACTCTCCCACAGAAGTCAGCAGCGCTGCCCCATCCAGGAGAAACCAAGCAGATTTTCTTCCTAACAGGTGTGAAAATCAGCTTGTTTCTGACTACTTGTGCTACAGCGATCCCACAGCCACCCCAGCCAAATGCCAGAACTCAGCTACGTTTAAAAATCACTTCTGACCTGCTGCTATTTATTTGGAAGTGAGGCATGGGGCTGAGAGGGAGTGTAAGGAGGATGCCCAAGGCCTTCATTTCAGGAAGCCGGACAAAGAGTACGCGAAGAACCCCCTGCAACAGCAGAAACAAGAGCTTACAGAGGCTCTGTCAGTGCTACAGTACCCAGCAGTGGGAGGATCGAGCAGCACAGAGGACTCTATTGTCCGTACCAAGATAAGATTGTACAAGGGAATGCAATAACATCACTGACAAAAGGGCTACGAGGGGCTCCCAAACACCATGCAGGACCTCGGGAAGGCGGGAGGCACCGGGAGGACACTGGCCCTCCCGCTCTGAGAAGCAGTGGAGGTTTTCAATCCATTCACGCTGATCAAACAGAAAAACACCCCAAACCAGCCACTGGCTTTCCCACAAGTGGAAGAACGTAGTTATGTTATCAGGGTGGGAAGGGAGGAGACAGTGAGAGCAGGAGGGGGCGATGGTTTCTGCAAACATCTGCCTCAAAAGCAAGGTGTTAAAAGACATTTCAGAATTAAAGAGCAAGAGAAAAGAGCGTCTGTCAACAGGCTTTAAGCAGTCAGAAACGGCTGACAGCAGCTCCCTGGCACCGCAGAACAACTTGAAAGTGAGACTAGAGAGGGAAGAGAACCCGGCCTTCCTCAGAGCAAACAAAACACCAGAGTGAAGGAACCATTCTCCCAGTTTTAATAATCTAAAACCAACGTGTATTGCACCCGACAGCATCCCTCGGGGCAGCGGGGACACGGATATAGTACGCTGGCTTCAGTGAACGTTAAAAACCAGTCGCCTCTAAGCAGTTCACTATTTAATGGCAGGGCTGTAGTGTGTGTTTCTAATAGAGCTGACAAGAAGATCCTAAAGTCCAGGCCTCTGTGGGGAGAGGGAAAAACACAAAGTGTTTCTTGTAACCACTGCAAGGACTGTTCAACGGGAAAGGAGGGATTCGGGCAGCCGGCAAGGCCGACTGCCGCAGTCCAACCTCATCGCCTTCCTTGCACAGCCTCCCTACACCCTCGACAGCTCGGGGTGCCCCAGGGCCAGGGCAGGAGCCCGGCTCTTCCTCTGTTCACAGGGACTGGCGGCGGGAGGAGCCAGCGCTGCAGTCCCCGCGCTGGAGCAGACCTCCTGCAGCGTCGGCCCCTCTTCTTGGTTAGGTGAGAGATGAGGAACAAGGCTGTTAGGGCTTCGGTTCTCGTCTTGGTCCGAATGGCACAGAAGGAGCATTTCCTAGTTAGCCCCCCCATCCGGGGCAGAATGGCTCATATTGCACTGGCACTGGGATTGGAACCCCCTCCTGAGACCGCAGGGGTTTCTTAATGCTGCTACCCCTGGAGAGCATCCAGTGAATAAAGATTGACTTCCTGCACAGGTTCCTTGCAGCTGGGACATCTCCTTTCTCCCTTTTGCCCATGCAGCAAGGCACAGTCACAGCAGAAGACATGCTGGCAGGGGGCCAGGCGTCCGTAAATTCGGATAGGAAATCCACAGTGGTGACAAAAATGAACCGGGACAGCATCTCTCTCTCCTAGAAAGTTATGAAAGTCCCAGAGCACATGCTCAGGTACCCTGGCGTTCTCCAACACGCTCCCTCCATCACAAGGCCGAGTTCCTCCTTCATCCAGGCCTCCTTCGGCACTAGCCTGCACCTCCGAGAACGTCCCGCTTGGGCCCCTGGCAGCAGGAGGCACGTGTGCGACTTGGCCGTGGCTTAGCTTTACCAGGTTTGGTCCGTGACCACCGAGACCAGCCACTGATCCCGAGTTCTCAGTGCCTCGTAAGTCATCGAGGTCTGCGAGCAGGTCAGTCCAAGTGGAGGAAAAGAAGGCAGCCGGGGGCCAGTGCCTGGATCGTGACACGAGGGAGCAATTCAGATTTTCAGAAGAGAAGGAGCAAACGTTCTAACTTGGAAATACATCAAGTGCGAAGCTTTAGCCCTGGGTAAGAACATGGCATTCGGCTCAGGGGGCGCTGGGCTGTCAGCTCTCCCGCCCCCAACTAACTCATCCAGCAGCCTTGATCTACAGTTTCCCCCGAAGCACGACTAAACTCGGTCTGTGTAACCAGGAAACAAGCCTAGCCCTGGAGGAAATCTGCACCCACGGATTCCTCTGCACAGAAAAGGCGGTGCCTGAGAGAGCTGAGCGCTGGAGACGAAACGCAAGGGAGGCAGTGGTGGAAGCAGAGAACTGACTCAGGTACTTACTCCATCTCAGCAAGCTGCGGAGAAGCGGACCGTGCAGCCAGGCAGCCTGCCTGCATCTGCTCTAGAGGCTTTTTCTGGGGAACCGCTCCCCCCTAAAACTCCGTGGTACTACAGGCCCTTTGCTCCTGACAGCACCTAGCAAGGAAGGGCAAGAAGCAGAGTGTCAACAGGAAAAGTCTCCACTGTCAACCAAAGTTTGTTGCACTAGCCACAGCACACTGATTCGGTCCCTGAAGGCAACCAAAACAGAGGCACTTGCAGTTAACACGGGGTCACTGGCTGAGCTCCGAGTCACCGCCAGTCACCCCAGACAGATTCTGGCCACTTCACACCACTGCAGTCTGGTTTTGTGGTGTTTTTATGCCAGGAGACAAAGCCCACTGTAAACCTGAACCCTCCAGGAGCTCTGCTAAAAAACCCCACCAAAACCAAACAAACCCCAAGACACCCCCCCGCCCCCGCAACCCACAACGCAGTCGTCCAAACTCCAGGGCACACAGTAAAGAAAAGGATGCCACACACCGACATTGGGACGAGTCCGTGCTTGTCCACTTTGCTTCTTCTCTTGGGTGGAGGCTGTGGAAGTTTTCATGCTGAACATGGGCTCGAGGCGCGTGGAACCCCGGTAAATCCACTCACAGCGTTTGTCATCCTGCAGCAAGGAGAAGGCAACACTCACAGCACCTATGGCAAGAGCTTCCAGAGGTACGATGCAGGCCTGGGAGACCGCGGCGCGCTGTTACGGTGGGCAGAGTCGAATGGAAAGGAGGCAAAGCATTGACCTGAAGGCTCTGGAACGACCACGCGGCCAGGAGAGGACAAAGGCAGTAATTCATCGTATCTGGGGGAACACTGAATACAAACCAGCTCTAGAAAGAGGCCCAAAACCAAGACCCCAAACCTCGAACGCAGTTCTATTCTTAGCCCAAGCGCTGACAAACGAGGCACTGTTGGAGAAACCAGACTCCCTCAGGAGACGAGCTAGCTCCTCAGCGCTAACCGAGCCTGCTCGAGGACAGAGAGGTTAAATTTGCCAGTGCACAATGTCTTCCCCAGCGCCAGAGGCTATGCAGTTATCTAGACAGGCAGGGAGCCAAGCGGGCACAGATAGCGTGTCTGCTCCCGTTCTGCAACGTGCAGAACCAGAGCAAGCAGCGTATCGCAGCTGCTGCTCAGCTTCTCTCCTGCTTCTCAAACCAGCACTTGCAGAAGACATGGCGAGGTGTTCACACCGAGAACGGGACCAGGAATACCTGCAGATGATGGATTCTGTTTCTCATTCATCCACCACTTCAAAGTTTCACATGCAAAACGCTTTTAAGGGCTTTTTGAAGCTTTTGCCATGCACAGGAGAGCGCCTCACCTTCACGTCAATGCACAGCAGACACTGGCAGTCTACCTGCGAGGCAAAGCACCTGCGAGCCCCACGACCCTCTCTGACCTGAGCGAGGAAACCGGACTCGACCCGCCCAACAGTCAGCCCCCCCAGACTGAAGCTGAAGCCCATCTTCCCCCTCTAATGGGAGAAGGGAAAGTGCCCTACCAGGAAAAGGATTTTGACCAGACTGCCGTCCACTTCTTCCACTCTGGATTTCCACCAGGTCCCTTCCCACTCCGTTTTGATCAGCTGGCCGTTCTTCAGCAGCACCATGGGACGGTTGGGGTAGGCCGTGATGTACTCCTCGATGAAATCGCGACAGGAAACATCCTCTATGTCTTCCCAGGTCTTTTTCACTGCTCAGAAAGGGACGGAGAAAGGGAAGAAGAGGAAAGACTCTTACAAAGAGAATCTTTAATTCCTTCTTAAAGAGATTCCGGATGGATTTTTACACAAGAACACTCAAGCAGCAATCCCGAGTGGCTGGGGGTTTGGTGGCAGGGCATCCAGCCATGTTAATGCACCTGGAGTGCCAAGAGTCACCGCACACTCACTCTGCCGGTAACGAACCGCTATTTCCTCCAGCTTCATCTGCAAATGTCTACAGGCACAGCGCCGGAGAGGACACGCGCTCTGTCCTGTGCCTTCTGAGCCCAGGCTCCTTCAGACACCCAAAGGCTCTCCACACAGTTTCAGTGTTAGGACACAGGAGGGGCAGGGATCACTCACGTGGCCTGCAGATTGGGTACAGCTCCCACTCCTTGACATACGAAGCGTAGCCATCGTCAAAGAAGATCAGGAACCTGGAGAACAGCAAAGAGAACAAGCGCTGGAAGTTGGAATCAGAAACGCAGCTGAATAAAACGCAGCTCCACATCATGCAGTGGAAGCGGAGCTCCCTGTTTCTCCTGCCAGTCCCAAAGGCCCTCAGATCAGACAGGACGGACCAGAACAGAGCGAAGCGATCCTTTCTGCCAGGAGACGACGAGCTTTACAGTACTGCCGCTTCCCTCGGTTCTCCGAGCACAGCTCTGCCCCAGCCCCGAGCTGTCCCTGCGCTGCCGAAGCCAAAAGAGAAGCTGCCCAAAGGCTTCCCTTGAGGCCTCCTTCCCTCAGCTCCAGACTCCCCCTGTGCCTCGGCCACAGCGAGAGAAAAGACAGCTTAATTGCTCCAAGCTCTGCAAGAAAAGATCTTTTTGGAGCCGTTGGGACAGAGCAGCAGAGGCTGCACACCAAGACTTGAGACTCGAAGAGCAGCACAAGGAGGGAGCTGGGGGCACCCCCAGAGGAGCAGGAGAGTCCCCAGGGCTGGCAGGGGACCGGAGCTCGGAGCTGGACACGGCACCCGCTTAGCGCTGCGTGCCTCCGAGTAACGACCTCAGGGCACGGAGCTGTATAAAGGCTGTATTACAAGAGATCAGCACTACAGGCAGCCTAGCCAGGAGGGGTAAAAGTGCAACATGAGTAATAAATGCACTTCATTTTCAGTTATTAAACACAGATCAGATAGAACTCAACACAATTAGGACTTTACGGCAGATCTGCATTTGAAACAAAGAAGGTGATTATATCCTTTATGAATTTTCTCAGAAAGACCACAAGCCTAAACCACCACACCGCAGCAGCCCTGCCCCTGACTGCTAGGCGACGGAAAGGCTGCTTCAGAGCTGCTGTTTCTCCTCCTTGCGTGCTTTGGCAACACTGCCGGCACTACACGCTTCCCGGGCTCGTATTTCCCGACGCTCCGTCTTGTGCCTTGGGCAGCGCAGACGTACATTGGTGTGATCATTTGAATGAATTACCAGATATAATTCCTGACTCAGGGACATGAGTAACAGAATGGAAGCTCCACCCAGAGCTATCAGAGATAAGAAAGACTGAAGAAACAACGTTCAGAACTACGTCCCTGGAAAGGGCAGAGAAGAATTTAGCTCCCACAAGAGCAAATACACAAATATCCCTTTTTTTCTTTTTTTTTTTTCCTAAAACCGACCGAACAAAAACAAACAAGAGAGGGAGAGAGGTACATGAGCGCGGAGGAGAATGAATACCTGTCTTTATTCTTCACGTTTGGGGTTTCAGCCACAATGCCAGCATACAGCCAAACCTGATTCCCATCTTTGTACTTCGCCACAACCCTGCTGCCAACGTAGTGCTTCTCAGGCGAGGGGTGATAGTCGTAAGCGATGTGATTGCCAGAGAGCAAACTCTTCCCTTTATTGTCAAATTTCACTTTGTACTTCTTCCCAGCACCTGAAAGATGTTTCAACGCAGCAAGATAAATAAAAGCCAAGTGATTTCACACAAGAAGCCCAATACCCTATGCCATTCTGATCCAAGGTCAAAACTTCTTTGAAAGCCTTTCAGAAATTAATTTGGAAGGTAAAATATTGTAGTGGAGATGCGCAGCCTTCACAGCTCTTTCCAGGTGGCACTGGGAGGGGACCTGCTCCAAGCCTGATCAACGTCACCCACCCAAAGCCTGGTGAAAGCCACAAGCACCGAGCCACAGCGTCACGCGCGGGACGTACCGACCGTCTGGATTGCAATCAGCGTTCCTTTGTGCCACGTTTTGGTTCTCTTTTTTCCCAGGATCCTCATGCCAACGTTCAGGTCACCGTCACTGCTGAGATCACTCCCAGCCGCCGCAGGGCCAGCGGGCTGGACAGTGCCAGGAGTTTCCTGAGGGGTCTGTGCACCTGCCCAAGGAACAACCACCAGAAAACGGGTTAGAACCTGCCCAAAGGCTCCCTCTCTCCCTTACGCAACTGGAAGAACGTCTGTTGGGCCGAGACAGGAGGCATCCTTCAGCTATCCCTCACCGCAGCCAGCCCAAGTGCCTCAGTTTTACTGGATGGAGTAATCAGCAAGTGAGGTCTACACATCATTAAAAAGCTTTCATGTTACGGAAACTGCATGATTTGTATCTGTTTTTGGAAAGAGCTTAAAGAAAAACAGGAATTTGGAATCACTGTATCCTGAGGGGTCTTCCCACTGGGTAAACACAACACTTATTTTCTTCCCGAGAAAGAAAACCGGCGGGCGTAAGGAGCAGAGGGACCCGGGCAAGGGCACACACGGGGGCCAGCCCACGTCTGCCAGCCCCAGGAAGCCCTCACGCACCGACCTTTTTGGGCATCCTGGGCATTTGTTTTCTTGTTCACGGCATCCATAAACCTCTGAACATCCAGGGCAGACTTCCTCATCGCAGCCATGGCTTCCCGCAGCTGAAGGGAAGGAAAGAGGAAGAAAATATGAATAACTTTTTCCTTTTTGCTCCAAATACAATGCCGTCCTGAGGGCTGCAGTGAAACCCCACTGCAGAAGTACACTGCAGTCAGGTCTTTTCCAACTCACCAGAGTCTGATCCTTCGCGATTCTGGGACTACTACTGCCTGCGTTTAAAGAGAAAAGAAGTGGTTTAAAACATCCTGGGGACGAAAAATTCCATCCTAGTTACGCCACTGAAAGAACAAGGAGCAGAGCAAAGCATCCACTCCAAAGCCTCCTCTGTCCCTGTCAAGAAACCCACTCAAGCAAGGCCTTTACCACGCCACGCTTCCCGGACGCACAGCGTGCTGCCCCGGCAGCTCCCCCAGAGCAGGGGCAGCGTTTGATGGGGACAACAGGCAGGCAGGTGGGAAAAGGGAAAAGTCCCTGTCTGGGACCCTAGGAAGCACGGAATAGCTACGGGCAGACCGTGCCAGCGGTGATGCTCCTCACGTGAGCTAAAGGCATTTCCTACCTGATCCTCTCCTGCTCAGGGACCAGCGTGGCTTATGGCCAACTCCACTACACCCTTATGCTGACCCTGCTCACCCCTACCCTCCTCCAGGAGATGCTCCGATCTCCAGCCCTCCCCTCAGCACCACACCACGCAATGAGATACTGAACCGTGCTTCCAGCCCGAATCGATACTCATGACGTCATCGTCGTCCTCATCCGGGATCTCAATCACTTCCGTGGCCTTGGCGGCCAAGTCCTCGTCCTCAGAGCTGCTCTCGCGGTACTGCAGGCCCAGCTTGGAGTACAGATCCTTCACCAGTATCTCGCATTTATCAATGGCTCTGGGGAAAAAAGACAGGGGAAGACCAGGTGAGCCCAGCCGTACGTCCCACAGTACTGCAGAAGGGAACAGGGACCGCCCGCTGGGGAGCCGCTAATTCAATACAGCCACAACGAGGTGAGGGAACAGCATTCACACGAAGGATTTCAAGCCCCAGGGGAATAATTTTAATTATCCCTCAACAACCACACAGAAACAAACTGATGCAGAACCACAGCGTCGGTCTGCTCCGAAGGGAAACGGGCAGCACTCGAGACATCGGACTCCGCCAGCCCACCTCCCCTCCGCCGCGACTCCAGCTGCGCCCACCTCGTAGCGTCGTCAAAGAGCCGGTCAACGCGAGCCACCTCTTCTTCCTTCTGCTTCACGCACTTCTCCAGCTCCTCCAGCTGCTGCTTCCTCTGCTTCACGCACTCAAACTTCTCCAGCTCTTTGTCGATGATATCCTGGAGCTCCTCCATGGAGATTCCCAGCTCCTCCATCACTTCTTGCTGCAGCTCTTTGATCTCCTGGGAATCCATTGCTGCTGCACCTGACACCGCAGAGGTGAGAAAAGGCCGATGAATCCCTGCTGCTGTAACACATCCTCCGAGGCACAACGCTCGCAAGGGCATAAGCTCCCTTTTTGAAAGCTAGTCAGGAGGAAGGTGGCATCTACGTGGCTGAGATCGCACCACAGGGAGCCAGAAATGACTGAAGTGCAAGCCCACTGCGGAGCCAGACGCTCCCAGGCATTCCCGACGTCTCCTCCGGTCTCTGCAGACCCCCCAGACCCACCGAAGGCCAGAGCCTGGCGCTTCGCCACCTCAGCGCCCTCTCCTCCCCAAAACCCGCGGGGCCGTTCCCCACCCCCTGCCCGGCCTGGGAGCGGAACCACGCAGACGCCTCTCCCGCTCTGTCCCTCTGCTTCCCCCCCACACTGAGAGCCTGGCGCTTCGCCACCTCAGCGCCCTCTCCTCCCCAAAACCCGCGGGGCCGTTCCCCACCCCCTGCCCGGCCTGGGAGCGGAACCACGCAGACGCCTCTCCCGCTCTGTCCCTCGGCTTCACCCCCACACCGCAGCCCAGCAGAGCCCCCCACCCTCCCCTGCCTGGGGCGTTTTGGGAACGTTGTAACACCCAGCCCCACGGCCGGCCCGGGAGGTTCCTCTGCCCAGCGCTGCGTCCCCC